TTTACTATTGATTCAAATCAAATCAAATATTTGAATACTTGATTTGAATTTGATCGAATCGAATCAAATATTAATTTGGATTTGATTAAATAAATCATTCTTTGATTTAAATTTGATCGAATAAAATCAAATATAAATTTGAATTTGAATTTGATTTGATTTTTAAATCAAATACTCAAATATAAAATTGAATTGCGGAATCTTACTGGATATTATACATTCTATATAAAATGCTTTATGATATTTCTAGATGCCTTGATTCAAAGATGTGAAGAGGTATCTTATTGTCTGTCTACTCAAAAATTGAGTCAATATATGATTCATTACTTGTATTATACTTACTTTAGATCAGAAACGATAATTTTCTATGGTGATAAAATCAAATTCTGTATATGGTTTAAAGATAGGTATCATAATTAAAAAGTTGCAACTTGATAAATTACAACTCCTTGTAAATTTATTTTAATATAAAAATTCAAAAATAGTTGCAACTAGTTAAAAATTTTAAAAATAATTATAAGAACTATCTTTAATGTGTTTAAACAGAATTCTGTAATATGGGAGGTTTGCTAGGAAAATGGGGCTCTGAGCATTTTTTATTAAAATTTTAATTTTTATCGCATTTTAATCTAACATTATCAAATATTAAAATGCAATAAAAATTAATATTTTAATAAAAATTACTCAGAGCCCCATTTTCTTAGCAAACCTCCTATATGATGTAATATCGATTTTCATATATTCTGTGTAATTCTACGATGGTTAAAATCAATTCAGTATTTTATATATTTAAAAAAAAATATAAAAAATTACTTTAAAAATCAATTACTTTTATTAAAATATCATATTTAATTTTTTTAATGATTTGTATAAAAGATTTTACTAATCATTATTTAAAAAGTTATTATACATAAAGAATCTACACTCTATACTGCAACTAGAAATTGGAAGCCAAATATAGTTTAATGCAATTTTTGACAAAATTGGTATATTTAATTGTATTTCCATTCAATATAAATTAAAATTAACCTGCTATTCAATTAATTTATTTACTGATCTATAATAAATTGACTATTCCCCTAATAATTCATTAGAAGGATTACAAAGTTCTTTAATTACTGAATATTTACGAATATTTCTAACTTGAATTCCTATTTTAATATATAATAGATTAAAAATATAACAAACATGAAATAAAGATCATACAGGATATTTTGAAATATGTGTTGCAAATTTATTGCATACAAAAATAAATGCTAATCAAAAAATATTATAAATATCCTTAAGGTTAAAGTTAAATTATATGATAAGAGAATATAAAGTAAATCTAAAATCCTATACTATAAGATTTCTTTTCAAATAAGATGTAAGTTGTTCAAAACGACCTTTAATAAATAGAAATATTAGCTTATTTTGCTGCTAAAAAAATTTAAATTCTAAACAAATCTTATATATAATATGCAATAAAATTATAATTATTTTTTTTTCATCTTATAAAGTTTCATTACTTACAGAAATTGATAAAAATTTTGTATCTCTTTCATAATCTTTAAGATAAAAAGAAGGCTAATAATCAATATGATTTTTAGCATAAAATATCATTTTAAATTATAAATTTCATTATGTTTTATTTGGTAAGAAAATCTTATAAGGATTTTCAATTTTATGTATTCTAAGATGATTCAAATAACGGTCTTTTCGTTTTGATGCATTTATAAATATTTTCTTAATTTTGAATAATAATAATTTTAAAAGACCAAAATCTGAATATATTTTTTAAATATTACTAGTAAAAATATATCAATAGAAATAATTGTTAATATTAAATAAAATTGAAATAATAATTTGCAAATTTAAAATAAAATTTATTTATATTTATCTAATGAGATTTATAATGTGAGCTAAATATGATATATGAATTAATTGTAACATTATTTATTTTAAAACTTCTTTATAACATTTTTTCATGTATGATGCAGAATCTGAAAGTAATAATCTTAGTAAGAAATAGGAAATATTGTAGATGATTAAATAATTAAAAGGATTTCATCTATTATTGAATTATTCACATGTTTCAAAAAGTCAACTGATACAAGTTTTGTATTTTTGTAAAGGTAAAAAGAATATTTACAATACTTTTTGAATAATTATCTGTAGTCTTATCCATTATTATTACAATAGGTTTTTGATTAAAAAAATCTTTAAGTAAAGAAAAATGTTTATTAAAAATATTGAATAAATATATTTAGCGAAGAGTAGGAGCTTGAGAGATTATATCACCTTTTTTAAGGTGTTTTTTAAAAAAGGAAGGAGTTGATTAATTTTTTTCAAAGGAATATTTGTAAAGAAAGAAGTTTTAATTAAATTATTTATAACCTTTCTTTTGGATTCAAATGCATTATTAATTGTAGAAATAGTAGTTTGCTTTTTTATTGTTTATTAATTTCATAAAGGTATTTTTTTTATTATGTTCTTTTAAAAAACAATATGCATCAACGGTAGATTTTGACTTCTATTTAACTAAGAAGTCATAAAAATTATAAAATAAAATACTATTATTCTCTTTAAAAATACCAGGATGTTATTAATATAAGAGTTTATAGCAACTTTTTTATACGCATTGTCATATTTGTTAAATGATACTAAATTTATATAAATTGTAAAACATGAAAGATTATCAATCAAAATTTGAACTTATGTGATTCTGTGATCTAAATTACAAAAATTTTGGAAAATATTAAATTCTGTGAAATTATGCGATGACTAATACAAATAATGTAATTAGTAGTTACTGAATATGTTACATATCAATCATAGCAAATGATATTGATATAGATGTCGATCATTTGAATAACAAAATTATATATGATTGTATGCCTTTTTTTATTTCGTAATATGTAAATTGTATTACATTTCTAACCAAATCGAACAGTTATTACATCAAATTGTTGACTTTTCGCAAAAATTTTATAAACTTTTAAAAGTAAATGGTTTAGCCAATTTAAGAAGATCTTGTTGAAAAAATCATCTATTACTTAATATGAATAATCGAAACTTTTTAAAACTCCTTTTTTTGTATCTATTTAATACTTTTCAACTAGTTTTATTTAATTTTAACAAAAAATTACATTATTTTTGAAATAAAATCACACTTTAAATACAAATATAAATTTTTTTAAAATATTACAAACAAATAAATTTGCAATTATTCAACTAATTATTTAGTTATAAAACCACTTAAAAATATATTTAGAAATATTATTTGATTATACAATAAATATATAAATTTTACTATTCTTTATATTAAAAATTAGAAAAATTTTAATATAATTTAAGAATAACCTAAAATTTACTTGAATATTTACCTTTTTCACCTTAGTAAAACTTGATTCTTTTGTTAAATTATAACATATATTATTAGTTAAATATTATTCAATAAACATTTTTAAATTAAAAAATCAATTTTTTGCATTTTATATAAATACTATTTGAATAATTACCTTTACAACCTAAGAAATTATTTTTTCCTCATGTAAAATTATATGTCAAAATCATACTTTCTTTTCAACTTTTAAAAAAAAGTAGCTTTTTAGCAAAAAAAAAAAAAATTTTTAAAAGTGGCGAATTATTAATAGATCTTATGACATTCTATCAATTACCTAATTTGTATAAGAAGTATATGTTAAAAAGGTTAACGGTTAACTATGAGGCAAATTTTTCAATTACTGTTACACAAACAAATTTAATTATAAAATTGATCTGCATGCGGCGTTCTGTGAATCACAGAAAATCAAATCAATCAAATCATCGTCCCTGCTCAACGTGGTCTAGTTGCATATAGAAGTTTTACGTCATCTTTAATTTTTAAATGGATCAGAACAGTGAATTCCGATCTTTTTTTTTTCTTTGAATGAGTTGAGTCTATTTTGTTCTATTGACATGCCACTACTTAGAGTTTCGTGAATAAATGAAATGGTATTTTTGCTTACGTTATAGGTTAAGAGAAGAACTTGAAATAAAAACTAAGTTCTCACCCTACTCTTTTTTTTAAGAATTCATGTGGTTTTTTTGTTTACACGAAAACAATATAATTGTGTAAACATTGTTCAGCCGGATTGTTTCTCCGTAACCTTGCCAGATCTAGTCTCTGTTTTGTAAGCTTTAAGAGAATTTTGATAGGTAAAAAAAAATTGTTATGAATTACCTTTTCCGGATACAATGGTATGATTGATGACCATATTTGATATTTAAAAAACTTGCTCCTTTTCTTTTTCAAAAAATTTCAAATATTGAATTCGAAATAAATATATTTCGTTATTAGCGCAATATGTTTGATAAAATGAAAAGTCCTGGAACTCCTAGAAGATCAAAAGGAAGGGAATTTAAACCTCGAGAACCTTACACTCTCCGTTTACGTAAAATTCTTGAAGAATATCCTGATGGTTCACAAGTTCTTCGTGAAATTCTCCAAAATTCTGACGATGCAAAAAGCACCGAACAAGTTTTCATTTTGGATCATAATACTTATCCTTCGAATAGTGTATTTGAACCGGATTTGGAGAATAATTATCAAAGAACAGATTTGAAACTTGATAGATATCAAGGTCCTGCACTATTATCAAGAAATAATACCATTTTTGAAGAAAGGGATTTTCAATCTTTATTGAAATTGGCTAATAGTGAAAAACGCGATCAATTTGATAAGATCGGAGGTAAATTGTTTTTTGCATTCAATAATGTTTATTGAGGTATATTAATTTTTTTATACTTTTTTAGTGATGGGCGTCGGATTCAATTCAATTTATCATATTACGGATTCTCCTTCTTTCATTACCGATGATAAATACGTTATTCTTGATCCACATGAATGGTACTTTGAAGGTGGTGTTCAATTCGACTTTGTTAAAGAGAATTTGGCCAAAGAATATCCTCACCAATTTGCTCCCTTCAGAATCCCGTGTGATAAACCATTTAAAGGCACTCTATTTCGTTATCCTCTTCGAACTACTGAAGATTCTATTGATTCGGATATTTCTAAAAAAATTTATAAACCAGAAAACATTTTGGAACTTTTTCAGAAATTCTATGAAAATGAAAGCATCAATTGCTTATTGTTTTTGAAATATATCGAATGTATTTCTTTTTTTGAATTGAAAGTAGGTACTACTAAACTTGAAAAACTATATACTATAAGGTTGGAAAATGCTACACAAATTCGAGATCAACGTCAATTGATAGTAAAGAAAATTGTATCAATGATGGATTCGTTAAAATCAAAAAACCTTAAAGGCAATCAATTACATACAACTTATGTTGCTTCGTTCTCTCAACAAAAAGGCGATTCTGGGGAAAATAGGGAGGAAAGCTCGTGGTTGATTTTGAATTATCTCGATGATATATATGAAGTTGAAGCACATTTCCAAGAGAAATTCAATAAGGATATAGGAGAATATAAGTTTATTCCTAATGTTGGACTAGCTATCCCTTTGAATAAGTTAAACATTATGGGAAGATTATTTTGCTTCTTACCTCTTCCGGTGTCTACGCCCTTTCAAGTTTCCGTGAATGGATATTTTGCGGTAAGAAATTGATTAAATTTGATATTATCATATTGTAATTATAAATTTTTTTAATTATATTAAAATTTGCTCGACAGGTTAGTACTAATCGGCGTTCTTTATGGTCGGCAGCAGATAATGAAGACCTGGTAATTAATCAATATTCTTTATATTTTGTGAAAATTTCGAGATATTTATACCGACTTCTTTTTTAAAAAAAAATTTGATCTTAGGCGACTGATGCATTGGCGCGTCTTAAAGTTACTTGGAACCGTTATTTGTTTGAAAATGTTTTGCCAAAGGCTTGGGCGGAATTCCTTCGTGAAATTCCATTGAAAGACAACATAAAACCAGATGATGTATATAGATTCTGGCCAATCATCGAAAAAAATTCAACAGGTAGCATATATACATTTTGCAAGGATCTTTTGCAAAATGTCATAAATTGCCTTAGCGTCGAAGATCGTGTATTTAAAGGTCCTTTGTCATCAAGCATCATTGGAAAAGTTGATAATATACCAGCTAAATCATATCAAAAGTCATTGTCTCAAGAATTTCATTGGTTGTCATTTTCTAATGGCTATTTTGAAGATCAGAAATCATATCATATTGGTTTATCTAAATTATTCGGAAAGATCGGGTTTCCTGTAATAACTGTTTCGCATGATATCATTAAAGTATTAAAAAGTTCTAAACACAAAGATTCCCTTAGATATTTTTCTCCTGCCATTATTCGCACTTATTTAAACCAAAATCGTAGTAGATGGAATTATACACAAGATAACGATACAACCTCGACAATATCGAGAACAGAAATACTTCATTTATTTTGTTATATCTTAAAAGACAAAAGATTCAATGAATTAGAAGGTTTCAAAATGATACCACTCGCAGATGGTACTCTTGGTACTTTATCACATTCCAGCAATTCTCACGTGTATATTTGTCCATATGATGACAACAAAAATCATGAACTCGATATATTCAAAGATCAATTGGACAAATTCGTTGACAAGTCAATTGATTTCGGATTATATCAAACCTTGTATGATTGTGCAAATGCTGGATGGAATCTAAACATTAAAGTCTTGGATGAAGTTGCTGTTGCAAATATGATTAGATTTTCATTGAAATTGAGTATCGTTGATCATAATTGGAATTTGATCGGAATAATTAAAAAGTCTTTATCAAACTCCGAAGAGATACAAATGTCGGATCATCGTGAATGGATTTATAAGTTATGGGATATCTTAAAATATAGAAATTGGGATTTAACAAAGTTTGAGGATATTCCTTTATTACCGACAAGCCGCTCTACTCTCAGAAAACTAAACACTCCTAAAAAAATCTTTTCTAATCAAGCAAGCAAAAATATTTCTACCAATTTAAGATCAATTTTCGAAAAATTCGGTGTTGTTTTTGTGGAAGATGAATTTGACTGTGGTGAAATTTCTAAATGGGATAAGTAAGTACTTCTGAATAGTAATTTGTTTTGCATGGTGTTAAAATAAACTTAATGCACACTATACTTTTTTATGTTATTTTTCAGAGTCACTCGATATATTATTAGACCTGATGATATTATATCAGTTCTAAATTCTTTACGAACCGATTCTTCTTACCCTAAAAATTTTAATCACGAATTGCAAATCCATGAATCGTCAACGCTCATTGATCACTTAGCAAATCACTTACGAATTGCTAATAATTATCATATTAATTCGAACCATATTGAAATCATTAAGCATCTTCCAATTTTTACAGAAGTTGATCATACTTCATCAATTCCATTATTACCTGCAAAGAAAAGTTGGCACCTTCTACCAAAAAATGATGAAAATACATATGGAAAAGTTATTTATCCAAGCAATAAAGGAGGATTTCTAAGTACAAACTCACAAAATTTATCTTATTTATTGGAAGATATAATTAAGATTCCACGATTAGATTCATATGAATATTGGAAAAATTATGTAATACCATTTCTTTATTTGCAGAATCAGACGGACTTGGATATAGTAGTTGACAAACTTTTGGATAAATTACCATCATTGCTTGATCGTGATTCAAACTTGAAGGATGTTCTTGGAAGAACTTCTTTCGTACCTGTTGGCACATTAAAAATGTCACAGCAGCAGCATACGTCTGATAACGTAAAGTTAGTTAAACCAGCAGAATTATTTGATCCAGAAGAAAAGACAATAACTGGTCTATTCTTTGAGGAAGAGTACGCCTTTCCTGCTGGGAAATATGGTGTTCCAAAAGTCCAGACTTCCAAAAAGTTCCTTTCGAACTTGAAATTATTAGGAATGAAGTCAATTCTTTCTCCGGATGATGTTATTTCTCGAATCAATTCAATTGTCAAAAAAAGTAAGATACCTGATGTTCACGAAGATTTAATTCACGTAAAAGCGTTGAAGATTTTTAAATATATTGATGACAAATGGGACACGTTTGGAATACAAAACCGGTCAACTCGTGAGACAAAAGTTAACGATGTACTGAAGATTATTCTAGAAACAGAATGGATTCCTACCGTTGACGCTTCTGAGAAGAAAATTTTCTCAAAGCGTCAAAACTGTTATAGTCAAAAAGATAAATATTTAGTCTGTCTGGTTACTCCACTACTTGAATATAAGATTAAGAACAAGAGATTTTTAAAATATTTGAAATGGGATACATATCCTGAAGTGAAAACGGTGCTAAAGCAGTTAGAGTTATGTTGCGTTAGTGTGTCTAACAAGCAACCACCTGAGCATTTGGAAATGATTTGTAACGCTATTTACAAATATATAAATGATGCTCTTCGAGCAAACGATGAGACTTCTAAGATAGAAGTTGATTTCATGAAGAAATGTTTGAAAAATCAACCGTGGATTTTATGTAGAAATACATTTCATCCAACTGATAAAGTTATCTTTAGTCTTCCATTTGATTTTCAAAATAACAACTCCTCAATTGTTGAACTTCCTGAAGGGTATAAAAATGATTTTGGGTACTTATTCAAGGCTATGGGTGTTCGAAATGAGATTGAAATCAAAGATTTAATTACAATTGTTAGTAATATGGTGAAAGGAAATTTGGATAGAAATTTATCAACGGACGAAATAAAAAAGGTGATTAAAGCTCTTGAACTTATATCCAAGATTCAAAGGAATATTAAGATTAAGAGAGGAGAAAATCATCCAGAAAAATTGGATGGATTATTAGTTCCAAGCATCGAAAATAAACTTGTGAGCTTGTATGAAATTCAATTTAATGATATGGGAGATAGATATGACGAAGAAAAGGAAAGCGAATATAAAATAGCTCACCATCTTGTAACCCGGGATATGGCTAATGAATTAGGAATTCAACGTTTAGGAGGAACATTATGTGGTAATTATTATAAATTATTGCACATATATTAATATTTTATATTTTAGCTGATCTTCACATTCATTTATTTGTTAGCCGGAGATGAGATTTATGAACAAAATGAATCATTAACCACCAGAATCAAAAATATTATTAAGGTATTTTTTTATTTTTATTTTACCCAGAAATTTTTGTCAATCCTATAAATATTCTTGCATCATTAGGATTATTCATTAAGTCAATTGTTTAAAGAATTCCTTCAAGTAAGTGATAAAATTTAAAAACATTTTTTTTAAAAAATAATTACATTTCGAGTATTTACATATATTCTCTAAATTTAGAATGCAGATGATGCTAAAGCCACACGATTTTCAATAATAATAGATGAAAGATCAAAGTTTCAGCATAATGCTTCTAATAAATCTTTATTTACAGAGGAAATGGAAGATTGGCAAGGTCCTGCGATATGGATATATAATGATGCTACATTTACCGATAAAGATTTTCGATCTTTGATCAAACTTGGAGTTGGAGGAAAAGGTGACGATGAATCCAAAATTGGAAGGTTTGGGTTGGGATTTAATTGTGCTTTTCATCTTACCGATATACCTAGTCTTGTAAGTGGGAAATATATTGTATTTATTGACCCAAGTGCAAAATATCTTCCAGCACAAGGGTCTCCTCCTAGAAAGTGTGGGGGTATGAAATGTAATTTTATTGAAAAGGAATTTAAGAAAAATTTTCCAGAACAATGTTTACCTTATGAGGTTATGGGCTGCAACTTTACAGAAGAATTTAAAGGGACATTGTTTAGGCTTCCAATTCGAACTTCCAAATTGGCAGAACAAAGTGAAATTTCAAATCAGCCTGTAGATATTAAAAAAATCTTTCAACTACTCAGTGAAGTTCAGAGTAATAAGGAGATGCTCTTTTTGAGACATATAGAATCATGTAGTCTGTATCGTATTGAAGAACAACAAGAATCTCTTCAAATGATATGGCAAGCGCAAATTAATCATATGTTGGATACTGTAAATACCGAACGCAATCGCAATATTCGTAAAAATGTAAATATAACAGATAATGCGCAAATATATCAATTTGGCATTGAAATTGATAAAATTCATAACAGGAGAGTTTCCGAAATATGGCTATTGTGCACAGGAGGATTGAGAATCAATTCGGACAAACTTGTAAAATTTTCAAAAGATAAACGACTCAAGGTAAATAAATAGATCATTAATTACTTTATTAGATAAAAATATAGTAATCATTCTGTTATTAAAAAGCCCATAGGAGGAATTGCTTCATTGCTTGCTCAATCTAATGAAAAGTCTTTGAATGAACTCAAAGCTGAATCGGTAAATTTTCATTTAATTTATATCTATTTTGCAATTGTCATTAAAAAAATATATTTTTGAATATTAAGTTTATATTATAGTTTCCTAATCCTCCTAAACTCAAAGGCGAAATTTTTTCATACTTATCTCTATCGATAAGTACCAATTTGGGGGTTCATTTAAATGGAAACTTTTCTCTATTTAGTTCCAGAAGCAATCTTATGCAGTCTGATAATGATTTCTTGCTAAATGAGTGCGATGATACAAAATGGAATCGATTTATTTTGTATGAAATTTTACCGTTATTGCATATTAGATTGCTCGAAAGTATAATAGAGCTTGAAAAAATTAGACACATGAAAGAGAAGGCGGATTTCATTCCACATACTTTAAATAATCTGTGGCCGATCAACGATAATGTAACTACGAATTTGTACAAAAATTACGGTTTAACTGTCATTAAAAAATTAGGTCAAAGTGGTCATAGAATTTTCTGGACCGAAGCAAATGAAGGTAAATTTATATCATTTAAAGAAGGTAGAATTTATGATGGTGAAGAAATGATTATTGCTGATGTTTTGACTGATTTGGGAACTCCGATTTTGAAACTTGACAAGGACAAATGTGAACAAATTAAAGATATTGCCAAGCAAAAAAGATCTCAAGGTTTCGATTTCACATTAATTAACGGACAAATGGTTTGTGAAGTATTGCGAGGAAATGACAAATTTGTATCTTCTTTAGAACAAAGGATTAATAATGACAATTCTGATAACAAAAAGACGCTTCAAGATTACATATTCGTATTTCTTCATTACATTCTTCGCGATATTAATAATTCTTTTAAAGAACTTGTTGGGTTACAATTAGTTCCGTTGAACAATGGTTTGGTTGGGAAGTTTGGTAAAGTTTATTACATTGGGAAACAAAAACATATAGACCTATTTCCAAACGTTGGCCCATCTAAATTCGTCACCGTTAACTTACCAAGAGATTTAATGAATTTCTTTAATCATAATGAATTTTCTGTACATACAAATATTAAAGAATTTGACGCAGATGCAACTTTGTGTCTTCTGTCATTAATGTTTAAAAATGAAGAAATAACTGAATTGGATTATGATCAGAATGGAAAGTGTATACCAAATGGCGAATGGATAGAGGAAATTTGGTCAAAATTTAAGTCCGCTAAATTTGTCGATATTGGGAAACTCTCGAAATTTCCTCTCTTACCAATCGTTCAACCTAAGGAGATGCTTGTTCGAATTGACTGGAATAATCCAGCTTTAAATGTGCCCGATGGAAGTATGATATATCCGGTGTTAAAAAAACTCAAATTGCGATTCACTAATATGAAGTTTCCAGATAGTGCCCATTCAAATCTTAAGCAATGCATATTGCAATGTACTTCAGTGCATGTTATTAATTCCCTGGAAAGGACTTGTATTTCATTAAACTTAACTATGGATCGATTATTTGAAACTAGTAATCTCTCTCTTAAAGATTATGAAAGATTTAGATCATACATTTATGAGAATCAAAAAAGTTTACTAAGTAAGTGAATAATTAGATAATAATAATTTTATGTGTAATAATTTTTTTAATTTAATGTCTATTATCTCGATAGAACAATGTCAAAAACAAGAAAAATTTATGAAAATCCTTCGTTCGTTGCCGATATGGGCAACACATTCTTACAATAATAAGTTTATTAATGCCGAAGCGGGAATTCTCCTTCCCAATACTCTTCCATTTTTTTCCTTCAAACAAGATACACAATTTTACAAATATGATGAACCTGATTACCATACTCTCTTCGGCTTAGGTGCCGCCTCCATAAATGAAAAACAGTATGTTGAGCTTATTTTCATTCACGTAATTGCACCATCCCAAGATTATATATCAACACCACCTCATGAGTATATAACTACAGCTCCATCTCAAGAATATATTACTTTCTTGCAGTGTGCTTTATCTTTATGGAATTCAGATATTGAATATTTTTTTGCGCGACGTCCAGTAATCCCTAACAAATCACTAAAATTAGTGATGGCAAATACTTTATACGATAGCACAGTTCCTTTATTCTATCATGTTTTTGAGGACACCGACAAATTTTTACCTTCAGTATTATGCGGTAATCAAAGGTGGATGACGGCTTTAGGAAGAATTGGACTTAAGCGTCAGGTGAATTGCAACACATTCATTGAATGCGTACAAGAGATTAGATCACAGATTGAACAACCTACTAGGTTTCCCGCGTCTGTGGTCAAAACCCGAGCAAAATTTGTATTGGAATATTTATATGCCCATACACTTACACTATATTTCACAAATGATCAATGGGATCAAATACTGCAAATCGAATTCATCCCATCAGAATATCTTCAAAATTCAAGATTTTATGAGAATGCGATAGAAACTTCGGGATTTGAAAGTTTCGCAGTGCTTTGCTCTCAAAAATATAAGGAAGTGTGTTGGACGCAAAGACCTTTCTTTGAAAAAAGTGTTGAGCCTACTGATGCATTTCTAAAACGTTATCCTACAATTGGAAAACCATCTTTTGAAGAAATAATGGATCATTGGTTTTTAGTTGTTGAGAAAATATTTCGACCAAATTGTTCTTGGAAGTCTTCAGGAAACTATCCGGTCATTAAAGGAGTAATCAAAAAGATTTATGAAGAAATGAACGAATTATCGCAAGAAAGCAACCTTATTGGTCCCATTTCTGAGAGAATCAATCCCGATAGGAAATTATTCTTGAACGAAGAAGATCCATTCGATAGAGAAAATTGGGTAGCAGCAAGAGAGCTTGTATTTGGAATAGAAGAAAATATTAGAACAGGATTATACAAAGTTAATGAATGTTTAATGCCTTACGAGGACTTATTGATACTTGGTGGAGTTCAAAAACTGGAAGAGTTGGATGAATATGAATTGAATGAAGGAGATGACGGAAAGCATGATCAAAAGGAGCATTTACTTAAAAACCTAATGGATAAACTTAAAAGATATCCTGATACACGCCATCATGACGTGATTTTTATTGTTGGTGAAAGTGCAACGAGGATTGGCGCTAATCGTTACGTGCTTTCTGGTAATTTTATTTCTTATAATCATTATTATATAAATTATTATTATTCATAAAAATTTTTTTTTTTTTGTTTCCATTATATTGTTAATTTATTATTCTTTTATCGGTTTCAATAGCTGCATCAAATTATTTTGAGAAAATGTTTTGTGGACACACAGCAGAATCGGTAGAGAATAGGCTGATTGAAGTTCGAATAGATGATATTCGATCAGATTCTTTTAAAGTATTTCTTCATTGGTTATATGGACAAACTTTTGAAGAAGCGAAAAATTATATTTTACGAAAGAAAGCCGAATTTAGACCAGATGATGATTATGTTGGCTACTGTTTATCATTTCTTATTGATATGTTGAAAATTACGGATAAGTATGAAGTTAACTCACTTAAAGAATTAGTAGAAATTAAAATTTTAAAGGATTACATTAATGTTTATAATGTATGTGAAATCTTAGAATGGGCAAAGGATTGTAACGCCTCAAAATTAAAAGAACGATGTGAAAAATATATAGAAATAAATAGACGTATAATTTTTGAGAGTAGATGGGAAAATATTTTAACAGTAGAGAACGACGAAGATATATCAGATGAAACCGAAATGTTAAACTTATTACTAGAAAATTAGATATGAACAAAGAACTTTTGTTAACAATAGTTGCAGTAAATATATATTTACTTGAACCTCTTTTCATTCCTATTTTAATTTATCAATAAACATAGATCTTAAATGTTACGTACATTGATTTAATGTACCCCCGAGTCAATTAACTGTATTTTATGTATTTAATAAATCACGCAATATCTACAGGAACCATGACACAATTGGGTTTATTTTTGGTAAGTAAATAAGTTCGAAATAATAATTAGCACAAACTAAACTAAATAATTCAAAAAAGATTTAATATATGTATTTATTATATTCATGTTATATATCTCAACCTAACGCTAAAATAATTACGAACGTAAAAGTAAAAAATGAAATAAAAATTATTATACAAATGGTATTAAAGTGTCAAAATACAATATATTGAAAAATCATAATGAAAGTGTGAAATTATAAATAAATAAATAAATAAATAGCCGTTGTAAACAATAAAATATAAAAAATTATTATATATTTCCAGTTCCAGAACTTGCATCACCGGAGCTATTTAAATTATTAGCAGTAGCTAATTTATTCAATAAATCCATCATTTCAACTAATTTACCTTCTAATAAATTTAGTCTATTATCAATAGAACCTTCAACAGATTTCACAGAATCTTTTAATGTCAAGATTTCACCATGAATAGTATTCACATCATCATTAATGGATGAAACTTCATTTGCACGCGAATTTGTAACTGCAGGCAAACCATCATCAATAGAAGATGACCTCCTTACATTATCTTTAAAGATCATTTTCTTATCTTGAATATTTCTACGTTCAGTTGATCCACTTGAAATTTTTCCAGAAATTAATCCTTTGTGATCGCTAACGCTTGTCCAGCTACTATAAAATTCGATGCCACTACTTCTATTCAATCGTTCAATATTCTTTCGTTCGTAACTATCAACATCCAATCCAGTGATATCCCATTCCCCACTGCTACTTCCCTTTTTTGAAATTTCTTCATCATCATCACCATCACTAATATCAACAGTATTATCATGATCTTTATATTCATTAAATCTAATTGAAGCTCTTAATGACAAGTATTCTTGACACTTTCTTAACCATTTGGAGATCTTATTGGTATTACTTATATAGAATATATGTCGTGGATTTCCTTTTGAATCTCCAAATGGTTTTTCTAATGTTTCATAGTCAGCAATTAATTCGGCTCGATATTTCAACACCGCTAATCTACCGTCCGATTTAGCCTCATCAAACACGCCCCTAAGTTACAAAATATATAAATTTAAATTTCTTATAAATCTCATTTTTTTACCGATAAAAAATCATAATACTTACGACATAAATGCTATCAACATGTTTTGCATAACAATAACCAATAACACACTAGCTATAAAACTCAATAGACCAACAGGCCAAAAGTCCCATTGTTCTAATTGATCCCAACGTCCATTAATCCAGAAATAAACGGCTGCTACGGATTGACCAAAATTTGAAAAATAATTATCTGTGGGATTGCTTAAATTAAAGGATTGTTCGATTGTGAAATTTTGGTATACTCCATTTTGATCCATGACATTAAAACTTGATCCATTCGGAGTAACGTCTATCCCATCTGGATTACGAAGCAATAAATACCTAAAGAGCAAGGAAGTTAGAAGGAAATTTTTTTTAAAAAAAAAATAATAAAATAAATTGATAATTACATTGCATGTCCGTGTGCAAAAACCACAATACCTATTTAAAACAATTTAAAATTAATTATTAATTCTAGGCAATTTTAAAATTTTCTATTTAGTTAAATATTATTTACCCATGAACGCGATGAAAGGCCAGACGTTCCGCATAATATTAATAATTATATAAATAAAATTTCCTGTTCCCGAGAAATATCTGAGCAGTAAGAACTAAAAAAAAAAATAGTTTAATATATCTGAAAACAATAAAACAAATAATTAGCTTTGCTAATTGAACTTACTAACTCCATCCATAGAACCAAAACAGTAAATGCAATAGCAATCGTTAGCTGTTTTAATTGATTTTTAGGTACATCGCCTCTAGATTCTCTTATCAACTCAACAGAATATGTAGCTAAAGGCATTATGATACTAGCTAGATCAAAGAAATTATAAACGCTAACATATCTCCTCACACCTTCATGCATAAATTGCACAACTTCACTAGCTAATAAATAATAACCCAGATAATAAAATAATAAAATCATAATTTTTATAATTATTTTAATTTGCAACGCAACATCATCATCGGCATTTTTAGCTGAAACAAGTGTCTTTTTTACAAAACTGTTTCTTACAGCTCCGGTCAATACACAAAATAAACCAGCAAAACAAAAAAATAAAAATGCGTGACGCAGAAAATGATTGCGCGCAGATTCCCATTTAAAATCTATTACAGCTTCCATTGCAGGATTATCAAATACCATGCCATTCTTATCTTTTCTTATTACTCTTAAGAATGGAGATAATTTTGCCGACTTTGTAATGGTATATCCACGTGGCCATACCATCATACGTAATAATTGAAGTGGTAACATACGATAATTTATATCTTTATCTTTTGTACCATCAGGAAATACAGTAAAGTCCGGTAAAGGAACTAATCTTAACGCTACTAACGCTGACGAATCCCCTCTATCCAATCCTGGTATGACTTTTTGTAATGCTGCCAATTGTTGATTATGCGTAAAACTATTACACAGGAAAAAAACCGTATATGTAAACTTTAGATTTTAAATTTAGATTAAAAATGATATTGGTAGTTCATTTACCTGTTCTTTGATTTATCAATAATTTTCATAATTGGTTGTAATTCTTTGATATTACGTATTCGTGATGGCTCTGTCTTAGGCATTAATTCCGTTTTTGGGATGAACGCTTTTATGAACTTTATTTTACCCTGTGGCAAATCTTTGGCATTTATATGCGATTCATCCAGATGTATCTCTTTCGTTCCAAATATAGGCTTAGAAAACAAATCTTTTAAATACGTATCTAAACAAAATAACATACAACGTTATATATAATTTATTTTTTCTTTAAAAAAAAAAAAAACTCTCATTATAACTTACCTAAACGATTCTCAAACAACAAGGGAATAGCACGAGAGACAGTAAACATCCAACCAGTATTATCCATTGCATTATCAGAATAGTAATCCAAAAAGAAACCAATCATCTCGACATCTCTCTTCTGTCTTCTTCCTTCACAACATTTTATCACAATCTCCAAATCACTTGTTTTTGGTTTTCTTGGCCATTCGTAAAGTCGTGGAGTATGAAGATAACGCATTGAAAAATCCGAATCTTTCGTATTAAGGATTTGTTGCACTAAGTGTACACGACGACCATATATAAGACTAGCCATCACATTATATCTAACATCGATTAACCTCCATATGGCAGGGCGTTTCAAGATAAACTTTCTGATCGAAGTTTCGATTGTCTGAACTAAATTTTCATATTGCTGTTGTTTCTTTGGACCGGCAGGATCATCTCTCTTCTTATATAAATAACGGAGAGCAGAACAAGCATCGCCAACAGCATTAATTTTAAATGGCCAATGAATAACTTCATTATTCTCCCCAAAAGATTGAGTTGGCTGTGAAGATAGAGTAACTTTAAATTCACGTTTTCCTATTTCCAATGATTTGATTATTAATATACCTTTCGTTGGAATAACCCAAATATATTTAAGTCTTTTCTTTGAATTTTTATCTTTTCTATACCATACTTGTACGGACGTTTCCCCGATGAATAATTGAGTTGTTTTTTCATCATCCAAAAAAGCAGAGATACGACCATAGTCTTTATTATGTACCCAAGGTTCCATATCATTTACTATAACAGAATTTTTTTCTTTTTCGGATTCGGCATCATAATATTCTCCTTTTTGATTAAATACAGTATGATAAACAGCTTGATCCCACTCAGAATCATGAAGATATTGTAAACGAAGTTCTATCAATTTTCTCTTCGATATAAAGGCAGGAACAAGAATATTTTTGATAAAAGGATCATTTAATATAGGAATAACACTTCCATCCGAATTATCAATTAATAAAATAGTTCCACAATTTCTTACCAATCTATATTGTTGAAATGGAAATAATTTTTTAGTATCTCGTAATACTCTAATAGCGTTATCCATATAACTAAATAAATCCCAAATAATTATCAAAGGGGGGGAATTTTCTTTTTCTTGTGCAATAATTAAGAGTGATTCATCCTCATTTATAAAATCCAATAAAAGGATTCTCTCAATATGAGGAAAACATTGTGTAGAAATTTCCAATGAATTTTCCATTAGATAAATGGTAATTGAATTAGCACCACGACAGTATGCTAAGAATGTTTTATGTCTTGAAATGGCTACAGCGGGACTACCATGACCAAATGAAGTTGCCACAGATTCTGCTCTTTGATGAAATACCATTTCTAATTGATTAGTTCTCATATTATACATTTCCACCACCTGCATTCTATCTTTATAATCTTCAATAATAAAATAATCGTTTTCTATACTTCTACTTAATAGTTCTAAACATGGGGTGTTCTGATAGAGTTTTATAAGTTCAGCTTGAACCTTTAGTGGAAAAATTAACTCTTGTCTTGGAGCAGGTTGAGGAAAAATTGGTAATTTTTCCCACCATGAAGAATAATCATCGCATGTTGAAGTTTTTTTTATGGTAATGTTATCCAAATTGAAAGAAGTTTTGGTTATTCCATTAACGTTTACGACAAGTATGGTGGCCGTATGTGGGTGCAATGGATCATCATCTAAAAATCTAATTAATCCACCAAATTCATCAACTTCCGTCGATATCCTTGCTTCACGCCATGTCGAAATTACCCATGAATTTGCATTCATGGATTTAATCAATTCCCTTGCCTTCTCTTCATCATTAACTTCATATGATAAATTGTGAATTTCTTTTTCCCCATCTTGATGTTGGTACGTTAGAGATGCAGTTGTTGACGATATTGATTTTCCTAACATCATATCTTTTTCATCGAAACAACTAAGAGCTATTAATGTTTCAGCATGCATATCTCCATTATCTATTTGATCAATTGGATTGGAAATTGCTAAAGACCATACTAATCTAGAGGAAGAGTCAATATCATTAAGTGCATCACATTTTATTGGACGTATTTCAGATAATGAATTCACTTGCCCCACATTTAACTCGAGTGTAACTATTCATAATTAATAATTAGAAATTATTAAATTATAAGAAAAACATTATTTGGGAAAAATGAAGAACAAATTTTACCTGTGTTAAAGGTGGCGACTTGCTGACCGTTTGGACTTATTGCTACATGAAGTTTAGGATACAAATTAGTATCATGGTGACTTAAATATTCATCATTATTTTGTTCTGAAATATTTTCTTCTACTTTTTCATTACTCATATTTTACTTTTTGGAAATTTAAATTTTTATTAAAAAAATTCTTTCATTCAATAAAAGAGTTTTTTTTATGATTTTAATTTTTTTTGATTTCGAAAAAAAATAAAGGTTTAAAGAGAGTTTTTTTTTTTAAAAAAAAAAAAAAATAGAAAAAATAAGTTTTGTGTACAAAAAAAAGTACAAAATAATATATATATATCTAATAAAAACTTTATATTTATTGCACTTTGCCTACTTTTTTTATAGAATCGTAATTAACATTTGAAATTTCCGAATATTGATTCGCTGTGATATGTAATTTTATACGCCAATCACTTGTTAATTTATGCACTTTCCATTTATGTTCATACAACAAACAATTTCAGGTTTTTTTTTTTAATTTATTGTATATAATTTTATTTATGCAACCTGTATTTTTTAATTCTACATTAAGTTATCCGAAAAACTCGATTAATTAAAAAATAAATGAATCTTGAAACATAATTAAAGGAATTATATAACCCACATTATCCATTAATGTATTAGTATTGTACATGTACATCATTTGTAAGAAACAATGAAAACCAAATAACTCGAAAGTTAAAGATTTGGCAAAACAATGTTGCATATATCACAATTAAAAGTAAGGGATGTAAATATTTATTTAATTATTAAAAAGGTAGGATGTACAATTTTTTTAAAAAAAAAAATTTAAACTGACCTATCATTTATTGTCTTATTAGAATTTTTCCAAATACATATAAATAATATAAAAGTTCTTTAATTTCATAAAAATAGACCAGGGATTTATTGTATTTATCACGTGATTATTACTTTATAAAAATTTAATATTTAATATTTTTTTAATATTTTTTATACTTACTGAGCAAATTATATTTTAATAAATAAGAATGGTTTTAATTTACAAAGTTTAATCAATATTTCAAAGTATCCTTGTTTTATAATCTAATTTACTTTTTATAAATATTTGTAATAAAAATTAATAAATAATATAATTATTTATAAAATAATTTATTTTTTTAATCACAAAATATAAATTAAATATTATTGATTTATAAATAAGGTAAAGATATATTTAATTAGTATTAAATAAATAAATTATTTTATTTTAAATAAATAAGTTAAAAAATTGTTAAAAGACTATTATTATAAAAAAGTAATGGTATAATATTCTTTAATATAATTATATTAAAGAATGGTATATCATTTAAGTCAGATTATAATATTATTTCATAATTTAATTAATGTAGAGTTAATCTGATTATTACTTTATAATCTAATTAATATAGATATAATCTATTAATTACTTCATAATCTAATTAAGTTAAATATAATCTAATTATAACTTTATAATACTTAATAATTTGAATTCTATAATCTAATATCTGTGATATAATATCTTTTATCTTTTTGTTATTCTAGATATTATTCTAGATTCTTCTTGCTATATATCAAATAATATATATATCACTTTATAATTTAATTAACTCCATCATTTTATGATTTAAATACTTCTGTTTCTTACTTATTTATGACTTTTTCATTTAAGTTAAATTTATACGCTAGTCTATTTCTATGGTTTTTTTATTATCAAATTTTAAGTCATTTATTTATCTGTTTCTTGATCCTTTTTATAATTGAATAGATATCTTTATAATAATTCATCTTTATGCTCTTTTTATTATCTTATTGTATTCTACTTATTAGTATATTCTATATTCTTTTTATTACCTTTTAAGAGTTTTAATATTTAATTTATATAATTTATGCTTATTTAGAAAAACATATTGAGAGTTTCAATAATACTAAATTTGTATAAATTGAATGTTTGAATATTGAAATATTATATCATAAAAATTGATTATAATTTTAAAACATTTATGTAAATTATAATTGTGATTGATTTATGATATATTTCATATTAAATAATATATAATCTATAATAAAAAACCAGTTAATTCATTCAAATCTATAAATTAATTTTAACTAATTTTTTGAATATGATTTTAACTTTAAGTAATCTATAAATATATTTTCAAAATTTTTTATCTTATACTATATATATCAAAATTTAAATAGATTAAATATTTAGATACTAAATTATAAGATTAATATTTATCTAATTACTTAAAATAATAATCAAATAGTATTTTAAGCTTTTTATGCCATCCTTTTGTAAAATTTATTTATATATATGTATAATATATAGTTGAAAGATATCTTATTAAAAATGTATTTATTTTTAATAATTTTACTAATTTGACATCTATCTTTTTTATATTTTAAGAAAATTTCTATATATATATATTAAATTTATATTATCAAAATATAGTATAGTATCTTCTTTTATTTTTTTATATAATATTTTTGAAGAAAGTAATATATCTATTGATTTGCTGACAAATCCAAATCTAAATCAAAAAATATTAAAGAGAAACTTATTTCAGTTTTAAAAAATAATCCAAAAATATTTCTTTTTAATATTTTTAAATTTAAAGAAGATCAGATTAATTTAAAAGTTGCATTTTTTAGTTCAAATAAAAAACCATAAAAGTTTATTTTAATAAAATAAAACGTTTTTTTAGTTTTAAAAAAAACCTATAAGTTATTTTATTAATAAATAATATAATTTAATTCTAAAAAAAACCAAAAAATCTTTCTTTATTAAATAAAAAAGTCCTAAAAATATTAAAAAAATTTTCAAATTTTAATTTTAGTTTTTAGATCTATATACTATATAATCTGGTAGATTAAAATACAAATATGAATCCAATTTAAATTTAATAAATTAAATTAAATCTGAATCTGATAAATTAAATTAAATTCAAATCCAAATCTAATTCGAATTTGACAGATCAGATCAAATTTAAATTTAAATCTATTCAAATCTTATAAATTTGATTCAATTTAATTTATCAGATCAAATCAGATTTTTTTGCAAAATTTTAGGAATAAATAATAAACTAAATATATTGCTATTTAAACTTGTTAATTAAGCAGACTTAAATACTTAATCAAAATGGATAAGTTTAGATTTAATTCAGATTAAACTTTTGAAAAAATTATATATTTTATACAATATTTACAAATTTAAGATTTATTTAGAATGTTTAAAATTATATAAAATAAGATTTTTAAATTACTCTTTAATTTAAAGTTTTCATTATATGATAAATTTTAAAGGCTATTTAATCTTATTTTTTCTACATTATGACTAAATTATTATATAATAACTATGCTATAATTATTTTATTTTAATTTTTTTATCATTCATATTATAATTAAGCAATTATTACTATATTATTATATAATATTATAATTGCTTTATTATTACTTAATATTTATTTTTTCTTTTTCATAAACTATTTGAAAATAAATCAATTATTTGTATTATATTATATTAATCATTGTATTGTATTAGACCTTTTTATTATGTAACTTTTGGGTTTTAATATAAAAAATTTTACCTATAATTTATATATTAGCAGTAAGTAAGAGGTAATTATAAATATTATAGGTATTTTAACTTTTTTGATACCTTAGTATTTAATAATATATCTTTATCTATATTTAAAACTAGGTTAATAAGAATGCTATTAAATATTTTTCAAAATATATTGAAATTTGAAATTGAGACTTTAAGTATTTTTCTATTTCAAAAAATATTATATAAAAAAGAAATTATATACAGTGACTTTCAAAAAAATTGCAAGTAGAATTGCTTGCTTTTAAAAGCTTATAACTACCAATTATGAAAGCTAGAAATATAATTTTGTATTTATTTTAATATCTAGTATAAATTTGAAGTATAATTATTAAGATCAATTTTGCGTAATTTAGCAATTTATATCAAATTATCTTATTTAATAAAATTTAAGAATAAAAATTACTGGTTACTAAAAACTGATACTAAATTCAGATTCTCTATAGTACAGTAATTATAACAATATAATAAATTTAAGTATAATTGAGAACTTTGAAATATTAATATTATATAAGTTTTTGAATACCTACAAGACTTATGAAATATTATGTAATATAGCTAAAATTGCTTGTCTAAACATATTTCGGATTTGGCTAAACTACTAAACCTTTAATTTCACTAAATTTTTACTAAGTATTTGATATAATTTCACCATTTTTATAAGCTTTAATATAGTTTTACCTTTTTCTGAATTTTGCAGATTTTTTAATAAGATTTTAATATAATTTAACTAAGTTTTACTTTTACTATTTAAATGTCTGTCTAAACTTTGAATTTCATTCAGCAATCTTAAATATAGCTCTTTGAAAGTTTACATATTATAATATTGAATATTTTATAAAATGTAATACTTGAAAGTATTATATTTTAATATTTTGCATAGTACAAAGTTATGAAGTAATATACTCAAAATTTTGTATAATATAAAATAATAAAGTAATATATTATAATATTTTGCATAACATAAAGTAATGAAATATTATACTATGATACTTTCTATAGTATATAATATTTTAAAATAATATATTACAGTAAATTATATAATATAATTTAATAATATTATTATAGTATCAGTAAATTTAATATAACATAATATTGTATAAACTTACATTATAATATTCTGTAATATTAGAATATAATATTTTGTAAACTTATGATAATACAAAAATATCACTTGTAAATTTATTTATAATATTTCATAATATTTCGATAAATTTAAATTGTCATATAATATTTTGTAAATTTACTGATATATTTAAATTATTTATATTCAAATTATATTTATTAAAACAATTTGAAAACGAATCACAAATAATATTAAATTAAATTATAAAAAGAAAATATTACAAAAATAAGGTTATAGTGGGTGTCTTCACAAATTACGTGATTGAGATTGAGATTAAGATTAGAATATGATTGAGATTGAGCTTAATCTCAAACTGATCATGATCAAAATTAAATATGAAATTTCAATCTTACTCATAGAGTAAGATTAGGAATAAAAATTGAACAAAATTTT